TCCGAATTTTTTTCTCGATCAAATTTTGTCAAACTTCGTCAGTATGTTCTGTGGGTATAGATAAGAGAAAAATGTTATATGAACATAGGTGATTTGAAGCTTTGTTAAAAAGTTATGACAATAATACGAAATACGAAGAGAACGGTTAACGGATTTTGAGGTTATGATACAAAATGGGAATAGTCTGTTTATGTAAGCTGTATTTACGATCTGAGATCGCAACTTTTGCCAGTGGCATTCCTCTTGTCTTGTATCATAGCAACCGCAAGTTCGTTAACATTCCTTTCTATTTTGTATTTTTGTTATTACTTTTTAACGAAGCTTCAAATTACCTACGTATTTTTTTCTTACTTATACCCATAGAACGTACTGACAAAGTGTGGCAAAGTTTGACCGGGAAAAACTGAGGCACCCCGTATATTGGAATTTCTAGGTTAAAAGGCTACTCATGGGATGATCGTTCGTTCGATATATCGCTACGATTATCGTCGATGAAGTGTATCAACAAACAACGCGGGAATAATGAATAGATCGTGTTTCTGGTTCAATGTTGGCAGGAAAATGGAAAGTTTTCTCCGTCGTTTATGGAAAACGATGATTTATAAATTGGTGCTGTTTTATTGGAAACAAAGAGAAATTGTTCAACAGGACAAATAGTGGAGAAACTTTTATTAAATTATTTTAATAACACCATTTATATTTTTTAAAGTACCAAAACGATGGTGTCTTTTTTTAAAGAAAAACTGAAAAATGTTTGATGGCATTTTTTGAGATAAGACATTTTAAGTTTAAACAAGTGTTATTTGGAAAATTTCCCATGTTCAGTTATGCAAGATAAAACTCAAGTTTCGAAATTGAACGATAAGACATATCGCGAATTACCGAAACGAACTTTTGGGAAATATGAGTCACACGTGGAAATATTGAAAATAAAGAATTTTTTAAATGAATAAAATTGCTATGGTAAATTTAACGATATGATTTAAACTATTTGATAACAACAAATGAAGAAACGTTAAATTTAAAGCTTCTGTAGAATACTTAAATACAACGTGCATGGAAGCTTTCCTATCACCATAAAATTCTATTTCCAATGTCTATTACAAAGTAGTCTCTATGTAATCTTGAGGTCAAAGAATTTTACTAGCCTATTAAAAGTTTGGTATAGTTCCAAGTTTAAAGTGTATAGCCTTTTATTCGAACTTTTGCGTCAAGCGTTATTAACTCTTTTCAATCTTTTTCTACATTTAGCAGTGACGTGTGCATAGGTGGCTATTAAACAGAATCGTTAATTCGTTTCTCACGACTGTGAAAACAAAAGGAAACATCCAAGGAAGTACAAGAAAGAATCAGCATAAGGCTACATCTTCGAAGAAATTATCTGACGAATTTTATGCAGCATCGCTTTTCCACAATTCTTTCACTGATGTTCGATAGAAATAACAAAAGGCTAAAAAATTCCAGTTGAACTGGAATAGTAGAAAAATTCATTGGTGGAATTTATTTTCAAAACAATCCGCGAAATAAATCCAGGTAAATCGAATTAAATATAGAATCGAGATTCAGCAAAGAAAATATTATTTAAGTATTGTAAAGTATTTTGTAAAACAAGCAAAATACTAATACTTTCTTTTCTCTATAACGAAACAAAGTCTGCTTAATGTAACTTCCAAATACAAAGGGAGAATGGTCAACAAAAAACACACTGTCTACATCTAATACAACGGCTTGGGTCAACGGTGACCTTGGTAAATCGTTTTGAAGGCACGGAACGCATTAACACTCTCGAAAGTCGAAACACATGTCTCGCAGGCCTGGAAGAGAATCACGACTTTTTGTAACCTTTGTACTCCTTGAACTGGCCTTAGAAAAATCCTACCTAGTGCACGTGCACGAATATGTATTCGAAAATCTGGGCGTGATTAAATATTCAAATCGAACTGCCGCGGCACGAAGAGAGACAGAGAGAGAGATAACGCGAGGCAGCTGTTTTCGTTCCACTTTTATTTCGGATCTTCTTCGTTCATAGCGCGAAAATAAGCGGACGCCTGGGATTTAAATGTCGCCTGGCGTGTAAATTTACCGTGTACCACGTTCACGTGCCACACCTCCGATAAGTAATCGTTAAATAATGGCCGTGCGAACGCTCGGTATTTCATTTGTTCGGTTCATTCATTTGCGACCTGCGGAATTTTCAGCGATTCCATTACCGTTCGAGAAGTTGATACACGCCTGATAGCGAGAATGAAATTAATTAAAATTAGCGGAATATCTATGGTCACAGGCAGCGATGTACAAGGTGATAAAATGAGAAATTAATTAAATTACACTTAGAAGGACATGGTTGTAGAAGTTAACTGCAGTTTGCGCGAAACTCGACGACCTGGATTATTTAATTGGCAATACTGTCAAATAATATCAATTAAAATTATGTTTAACATATGTCGTAAGATTAAATTTCGTTTTCTGTTGTATTTGTTTTTCTTTTTATTCGGTTTATCACGTACCGTTGTTTATTTTGTAACTACGTTATTATCGTATCTTTATTATATATTTATTTTTTTTATTAACAAGTACCAAGAGTTAGACACACGCTTTTAACAACACTGTATGAGATACTACCATCAACGTTGGCGACGAATTAGCCACTGCTTTCAGTTTAGAACAGTGGTTCTCATTTGTGATGCAAGTTAAAAAGTAAAGAAAAACTGAATGTATATTAAATTACTTACATTATATTTAGAAACAGAAATACAGTTTTATTTGAGATCGTTTGTTTTACAATGAAGTTGTCCCACTTCATATTTCTAAGTACTTTATGACTGACTTCGTATAAATAATACAAATTTAGGAGAATAATAATCTAGGTAATAATTCATCTGAATAACGTGCAAATTTTGAAGTCTAAATATCAATAGTGTCATAGAACAACCTAAATTTCAAAATAGCAGTTGAGATTCACTGATGCATGCTGAAAACGGTGACAAATTTATGGCGAATACTCATGGCAACGTCTCGTAAATCATCCGCCAGAAATGTATGCCATTTTAACTCATAAGATTCACTCGTGAATATCCTGTAACATAAAATCAATAATAATAGATGGTTCGGTGAAAAAGATAAAGTGACCGTGAGGTATTCAATTTCGTTACATTCGTGTTTCCCTTCCTCGAGCGGATAACTTTTATACAAACAGCTTGCTTATGTCCTTGACAGTTTAAGAAATAACTGTTATGTACATATTTATACTATGCAGTATTTATAAATCTTCGCATAAATTGCGTGAACGTTATATATCGAAATAAACGCGGCATGTTAATTTTTGAAGTTAACATGTAACTACAGAATTCGAACGATGCGAATCGCCAATACAAACACGCGAGCACGGTGGTGGGGGGTTAACATTTCATGTACGACACATGTAAACGATGAATGACGAGGAATTCGTACGCGATCTTATTCCATCTTGCTGTTACCATAAAGACAGGTCGCAACTTTGTTTAAATTCGTTCTGTGTTTACATGTACGCGATTAACATATGTCCACTAAGTATAAAAGTATTAATGAAAGAAACTCACTAGATTAAAAAGGTAGTAACAATGGATAATATAATAGGTATCCGAAGTAATAAAGTATTATCTTTTAAAAACTAAAATATTTAAATTACACGATCAAGTAAATTGTTGTACGTGTGCAAAGACAATCCTCTATTGACAATAAGTAATTAGAGATCATTTAGGACGAATGTTTGCTCGGCTATGTCGTGAATTACGCACATATAGTTCGAGGGTGACTCGCGCGAAGTTCGTCACAAACAAAATGCCCGTACTAGTTACTAATATTCACGTGCGAACACATTTGGCTGGCAGTAACGATCCATGAAGTTGCGCGTCAGATTATTCGGCAAATTCGTTTCGCTTATCTATTCATTTGCTTTTTTTCTACGTAATTTATGTATTTCACGAAATATTTATGTCACACACCGGTTGACCACATATACGACTTACTTTTAAAAGTAAAAAAAAAAAATTTTAAATATTTATATTCAATCAACAATCGAATTGAATTCTCACTCGGGCAATATTGAAAAAAAATCACAAGCAACGTCCGAGTGAACCGTCTATAACTTGCACGTTTAAGAATTTTGCTATCTGAAAATAGACTAATTGACTTATGTAATTCAGTAAACGCGGTCCCTCGGTTTTCAAGTGGGAACGGAACTGCACGATTTCCACGACAAAACGCTCGATGTTCCGTACGTTACGCGGAAGGATCTTTGATCTAGCCGGTTTCACATCCGCGGCAACACGAATATACCCTTATCATCGGTAAATTCATCGTCGGTCCCTGGGCGAGACAACGGATGCAGCCAGGCGGACAATTTACGAACAGCATCCGGCGCCGATCTAAAAGGCGCTCTCTGTAAAGTAAGCATCGCGATCTGGATTAACCTTCGTGGAGATTTCAGCGGCAGACATGCCGATTCTCGAGTGGCCAAAGATGGGAGGATCCCACTCGACGCTTACTGACGTTTATTACGCGTTCGTAAATCACCCTGGCGAATGTCCGCGAATGCGTGCAACAAGGAAGAATTTCGTAATCTGAGGCCTCGGGGAGAATCGTACACGACCCGAAAGAGCCTTTGACCAGAGAAAATTGATGCAGGGCGGAGCCTAGAGTTTTCGTGCTTGGAAAAGCGCAGGCGATATTGCTTCCTCCGGGTTACCGGCCCTCTGATCAATATTAATACGTGACACCGGCGAGAGGGCGAACTGGTAAGACACAGACGGTGCGTCGACCAAAGAAAGAAGATAAGAAAAAAAAAAAAAGGCCGGGAAGGGACAGAACATGAATTATCACACGTTCTCAATCACGCTCGACAAGGCACACAAGACAAATGAAGAACGATAAAGGGTAATAATATGTAACAGAGGAAAAGACAAAGTTCACAAGAGCGAGAAAGAGCGAAGAGGATACGCTGTTGATAAATGTGTATTTACCGCCAATCTAGGAACGTCCACAGTCTCGTCGGTGCAGCCCACCTCGATGGTTGAAACGCGACAATATAGACCCTTGTTTCTCGCCCTAGCACGCAGCATGCAACACTTTTATATCCCCGTAAAGCGGTCCACGGCCCGTCATCGATAAAATCGTTCGCAGGAAATCACGGCAACTACTGTCAACGATTCAGAAGGGCGCGGAGATCAGGGTTGAGGCACTCTATTCACTCACGACACGCACTTTTCTTGTCGGCCTTAATGCTTTAGCGATTCTCTATACGTGCACGAAGTCACGGTTGTATAATTAGCACTGCTGTTACTGTCACGTATATTCCCGTATATAGATTTGGTTTCTTCTTGACGGTACGCGCGTCCGTTACTATGAACGAAAATTCGAAATTGCTAGCTTACAGGTATCGGTACAAGCGGAATCGCTACGGAACAACTCGACCTCGCACGTACGGCCACGATACGTCCGTGTATTGCATTCTTTCAAGACCTACTGCGGGATCGCGATTTTCGGCTCTTCAACTCATCCAGTGGTGCCCTCCTATGGCGAGCGTAACCCAAGAGTGCGTAGAATGTAGAGAGGCATTGGTACGTACGATTCTGATCATGTAGTTTTCATGTAGCGATGACAGATTAGTTTTCATTATCTTCATATTATAATTTTACTTATAACAATTGAAATTTATTATTATGAACAAATTATTCTATTAATATACGAGAAATATCAACAAAGTTTGCTTAATGAACTTTGCTCAAAGACTTATAAAATATTTAGGTTTAATTAAAACATTAATGGAAACAGTTTCAAACGGTTTTTGAAGCTATCGATCAATATCAATATTCTAAAAATTAAATTGATTTATAAGAAATGTTAATACAGAACTTTTTGACTATGGGTAATGACTTTCTCTTTTTCCTGTCAATATTTAAGAATACTTTTCTGTATATAAATAACAACATGGAGGATGTGATACTTTTGTATCGGGACATTTGAGTGCAACAACAGCATCTAGACTATGAATTCATAAAATAAATGTATTGTATAAAACAAATTAAATAAGGTTATTAAGTAGCATCTTATAATTAGTACTAGTTAGTACAAAGAAAAGTAAATTATTATATTTCTATACATATAATTAGCACATTAGTACTATCAGTACTTGTATGACGCACAAAAATTATTATATCCTAAGTATAAATTGTATTTAAACTATATATACAACATCTTGAATGTATTGTATTATAATACTACAGTATTGTTTTAAATAAATGAAATAAAGAACACCACATATTATTATAACAACAACATATAGCACTTTTTGAATATGAGTAATATACTCTACTTGTTGTAGAATGTTTCAACAAAATTCAAATAAGCAAAATACATTTTAGCCAATTCATAATCAAAACTCTTTCCATATATTATACAAGTACTGTAATAAGAAAAATAATGGCCATGTTTTGAATTACTTTGGTCAAAAGGTTTACATTTTTCAGTTAAAAGAGTTATTTTTGAAAGTTTGTTTTGAAAGAAGCAGATATGTGTAACAATACTTACTGTATTAATATCTATAGGATCATGTAATTTTACCATCAAGTAATAAATAAGCAAGTAATTAGGTTTTATTTTAATATAGACAAACATTTCATTTATAGAAAACGTGTAATACTTTTAATGAAATCCTTTTTATAGTATTAAATTTGAGTAAGAAAAGAGTACTGAATATTTAAACTGTTTTTAGAATTACTAGAGTTAATTTACCATTAACATATTTCAGAATATTAAGAATATTTAATACATACATATAAACAGTGAATGCAATGGTATATGTATTCTCATCTAAAACAGTGTAGTAGTTTTTTACTACTTGATCATTTGATGATTATTGAAATGCAGTTGGCTCTAACACATTTTTATTTCACTTTCTCATACACCTATTACAAAAGAAGCAATAACATTCGATCGAAAAATTCATACTCATATTACAAATATTCAACATACTCAATAATAGTTACTGGCAGAGCAAACGGAAGAAAAATATATTTTCCTGATAATCTGTAAGTAATGATCGTAGGTACGTATATTAATCGCGTGTGGATCACGTTACATAAACACGTGGCTTTAAAACGGCGCGTGTTGCAGCACAGTAAGAAAAATATGCATAGAAAAATATGACCAGCTACGTAATAAATCGCACAATTAAACGCGTGAGCACAGTGTTACGTTTATTTCTTCTCAAATATAGCTGTCGGAATTTTTTTTTTCGCGTCAGGGTGTATAATTGAAAAGGGATATTGAATATAATGGTTATTATAGTAATCGCTCACTTACAAATGATATGCTCAGTGAATTGTTTTTCGTTCTTCATATGAATCGCGGTTACGCGTATACTTAGTTTTGTTTCGTGGTATAGTGTTCTACACATGTACAGAGTCCTATAGATGAGACACATACATATAATATAAATACCATTCGATATTTTTTTGCGTGGAGATATAATAAATTTCAATTCGCAATTATAATTTTTCAAGTATAAACTAGAGATGGATAAATCCCTTAAATAAGTTATCATGACATCTGTAGCGTTTTGATATTCTATTTTGGATGATTCATACATTTTTCTGGCAGTTCTACTGTAACTATTTTACGATAACATGAGTATACATTTCGAAAGTATGTAATGTGAATTGATAATGAATTATTTATTATGATTTTTTAAGTGAAAAATGTCTGAAACATTAGGAAATATGTTTATAGATTTTTAAGAAATATATCATAATAAACTGGGGTCACTATATCAATTACATAAAGTACTTAAAATTGCAATTATTTATGCAGGATTGCTATGATTCTCGTGTTATTTTAGTTGAAAATTTTATTTAAGGGATGGATCCAGGGTCAGTACCATGAATAATATTTCGAATCTATTAACTTATTCATAAAAACAAAGCGTAACAATTCATTTTCACGTAGGAATACAGCAATTATTAAAATTATTCGATTTATTATTAATATTTAGATTGTCGAATAATTCTGATAATTTTTTCTCGGACTGTATAACGTAATGCTTTTGTAATTAACGCGTTGATACTTTTACAAAAATTACATAATGTTAATGTGCAACTTTCACAGAGGTTTTTAAAACTTAATGTTACGATAATTATGCAATTTGTTGTTTGTGTAAAGCAGCAATAAAATATACAATTTATATATTGTAATTAGTCTAATTTAATATTTACATTTAAAAAATGTAAATTCCTTAAAATTGGTTCTGTTATTTCTGAATTTACCCTTTAATATTCCACGAAAATATAATTTTTGATTGCTAGTAATTTTGATCGAGAAAAATGAATTCGAAAATATTTGTTCGATGTGTAATTGAATGTACTATACCTTAAAGTTCGTTTATCTGTCAAATATAGTAGCGAAAAGTATCTTTATGCTTTCTTTTCTTAAATAACATGCAATTTTGGTAACACGTTAATTGTTGAAACGCTAGAAAATTGTACTAGTTATTGTTAAAAATTATTTACAAATTAAACTGATTTGTATTAGGGAATTCCTGTAAATTACAAATTGCTCTCTTATATGAATAATTATCAGTGGATTTTGTTAAATACGTTGTTATTATACAATGATATATTGTGTATATTTATGCATACGTTACATGTACTATTATTAATACCTTTATTTCGGCGTGCAATTATATGCTGTCATTTACTGCGTAAAACTCTGCTTTCTTTCTTGATAAAGACCACGTAATTACCGATTGATTACCGATATCTCATGCTGCTGAACAAACAAACAAATTACATCATCGTTAAAAACAATCGAATTGAAATCGACATCATTTCGAACCAACATGTTGTCCTTTCACATTCTCTTCCCAGTAAACTATTTGAATTACTGTTCATTTTGAACAGTGATACAATGTCTTGTAGATATGTCCTTTTTGTCATGGCAATAATTAATACTCTGGTGAGTACACTTTGAACGTGTATCGACCAAATTATCGATGATCACCGCGATTATCAGTTATCGGTACTTTCTAATACTTACCATCATATTTATTTAATGTTAAATTACACATATATTTTTTTTTTGTTGTCGATAAGAGATCAGTAACACATTAATAGTAATTATTACTTGTTTGATGCTTATCGATATTTGCTAGGGATATTACTTATTGTTTTCTTGTTAGAACAACACATTCAAAACATCGTTAATTCAAATTCGGCGAGAGTTATTTGACGCGTTCGATTCTGCATTGTCAATTTCAGAGACATGCAACTGCATCACTTTTTCTCCGCACATGTACTTTATGTATTTCATGCTGCTTTTGATTCGAGCTTTAAAACATATATCTTTCTTTTTTTCTCGAAAATATACAATAAGAGATCGATTAATCGTTCGATCGTCAAATTTGTTGTATAATATATGTACAATGTATAGTTAAAACAGCAAATACCCCTCGCCATAGAAGTATTAATATATGCGGTAAGTAAAGAGCGTTGTGATTGTTTCACGACGTTAAAATCTTTGCATCATAAGAGTAAGTTTAATAGCGATTGCTTTAGAGTCAATTTCTGTTTATAGACTGTTTCCTCAAAAGCTAGTACCTACGTTCAGCAAAAGATAGAAAAAACACGGTTTTACATTTTTACCTATGCTAGTCTACATTTGGCTAATCAGAGTCCAAAGAATGTAGTTGAAAAGATTAATCTATTAATTTTAGATAATTAATATTATTGATAATAAGATAAATTTGAGAAAGAGCCATTGAAGAACTGCATACAATTGAAATATTTATAAATATTAACTTAACTGAAAGTAAATTAGTGTAATTACTTATGAGATACTAGCACTAATGCAATTGCTGAATAAACTTTTGTTCTACTTACTTGCTATGAGATCATAAGGTAATTTATATTTTGAATTATGATCAAAAAGGAATTCAAGGTTTTTAATTAGATCAGTAATTGCAAGCAGCATAATTTTATTCTGAAATTATATAACATATGAAATAGACTTTGAATCCAGAAAAAAATAGGTTATGAAAATTCATTTTTAATATTTTGATAAAATGTAATATGTTTCTCTCATCTGTTACTACATTAAACACATAATGATGATGAGAAATGTATGATGTTAACTATAAAAGAATTCATTTTAATAATCCACATTGCATATAGTAATTTAAGTTTTTGGTAGAGTAATTAACATATGGTCTCATGAAGCAGATGTTTGCCTTTAGTAATGATTATATGATTTCAGAGTACATAAAGTAGAGGACAATATTTGAATTCCTCTGGTTGAATGTACAAATGTATACCTTCTATTGTAATAAGAATGATAGAAAGCTAAAACATCAAAAATATCTTATTATCAATCTAATTATCAAATCAATTCAATTTTCTTCACAGTTTGTTCGCCTATAGCGAAATAGCCTAGTGTTTTTTTATCCAATAAACCGACCGAGTCT